TTCTACATTGGTAACAAAGATAACAATTTGTTTTATTCTCTATTTTTTGTATATTGTTGACATAGAAAATCTTAGTTTTTATTTTTTATTTTTCTATATCGATAATATAGAAAAATAAGAATTAAAACTAACTGATATTTATAATATCAATTAAAATCAATAAGAATTCAAAAATAAGATTTTCTATATTATCGTTATAGAGATATCAAAAATTAAAATTGAGATTTTCTATATTATCAATATAAAAAATCAAAAATAATAAATAAAATTTTCTAAACTGCCAATTTAGAAAAACAAGAAATGAGAATTAAGATTCTTGTATTATTGATATAGAAAATAAAAGCAATAAAACTAACTGTTATGTTTATTACCAAGATAGAAAAATTAAAATTAAAACTAATTGTTATTTATATTATTAATATAGAAAAATGAAAAATAATGAATAGGGTTTTATATAATATCAAATATAGAGCAAATGTTGACTGTACTTGTTCTAAAATAAGACTGAAGTTTATGTGCAAAAAAACGAAGCCAAGTAACCGATCAGACTGATTATTTCCATGTGTATAAGAGATATTTGAGAAGTTTGATTTAATTGAAATAAATCTATAGTATTAATAAGCATTTCATATAGCTCTATGCCATCATCTAAAAGTAGAACACAAAATTATCTACTCGAATTTTATGTCTCACAATCTCTTTGATTTAAAAAGCAGAAAGTATTGTTTTCTTTCTGACTCTCATCTTCGAGTTGTTTGACACATAATTAAAGGTCTCATATCGTTTTATATGTATTTGTTTTTTGTCGATGGAAGAAAAGAAATAATACTAAAATGTACTTTCTTCCAATTGCACTGAGACATTAAACATATTAAAAATACATGACATTACATGTAATAAAAATGAAAATTGATTAAATAGTATTAAATTTAATCAAGATTTCAATTATGGCTAGATTCTTCATAGACAAATTAAAAAGGATGAAATTATTTAAATTATTTTTAGTGCGCTTATAAAACTTCATGACATTTTTTATTAACTTCATCGATTCTGTAACTGTTCATTCAAGATATAATCATAGAAGTATTGTTTCTAGTCTAAAGCTCAAGTCAGTATCAATATAAATCTTTAGAAAATTCTAGACAAACAAAAAAAAAAACTTTCTTCTAGGATTTAACCAGTTCAGAATGCGATACAGTAAAAATTTGAAGAAGAAATCTTCACACTTATCGCTATTGAGAATAACTAAAATCATGATGAAATCTTTTACGATCGTTTTTTTTGTGAGAATCCTCAAAAATTTACACGTATTGAATAACCTACAAAACACAAACTTGCAAAGATTTTAGATCAATGTTTCGATAGGAGATTCGTATTGTCTTGTAAAGAAGTCAAAATACTTAATGTTAGAAAGATCGAAATCGATCCGTGATCGAAACTACTATTGTTTACAAAAACGTGTTCCATACCCTATTAAGTTGAAAATTTGTAATACATTAGAAATGAATTCAAAATAAAAGATTTGATTGATTCGTATATAGATTATTGTTTGTGCTACAATGTAGAATAATGAACATGACAGATTCTTCAAATATTCTTCAACTTGCCAGAGATTTGTTTTTGAGTTCTTTTCATCTACTAAAATTCGAACTTACGTATTTTTTTATCTAAACTTATTTTATTTAGCACTTCGATTAGCCTTTCTACAAACTACTTGTTTGTTTGAGATTCAGGAATAAATTACTCAATAATAAGTATGATGCAAAATTAATGGCATAAAATACTTTCGAATGATGTATGATTTATGTTTGTCACACATTCGTAAATGGAATAAGAAAGAAAAATACTTGCACAAAAAATTTGTAATTTTTTTATATGAATCAGTCAAAAACGTCTTATGGATGGTAGTTAAGTATAATTAACTATCGTTATTAACTATCGTTATTATCTAGCAAGATGTTTTTAACGAATTCATATAAAAGTTGCAAATTTATTTTGTCTCATTTCACTCAGAAATGTGTGACAAACATAAATCATACACCGTTTACTATCAACTGATAACAAATTTTTTTTTCCTTACGTTCAAATTCTATTATAACTCATTTTATTGTAAAATCCAAACAATAAAAAATGAAATAATTTTTAAATATATTTCAAACTTGAACTAACGAAATCAGTGAATATGTTAGAAAAATTCGACAAAAAAGAAAATTTCATTTACGATAAAATCCAAGTTCATCGCAATTTTTCACATTACCAGTTAAATGTTAGTTAGTTTCAAAATATTTGAAAACGTCAACAATATTTGTTTTCAACATTGAGAAAATCAGATTCTAATTAAGTTCATAAGTAAAAAGCTTTTGTAATTGAGAGCAGTTCAATACTGTTTAAAAGAAATGAGAATGAGTCATTTTAATGACATTGATGTTTATTTTTACTCCATACCTTTGTTTCATTTCAGTACCACTACGTGCAAGTTCCACTGATATTCATCCGAATGCAAAATGGGCACAGAATGGTATCACTGTTGCTGCAGGAAATGGATATGACAGTGGAATCAATCAACTCTGTGGTCCATATGGTTTGTACGTCGATGATGATCAAACGATTTATGTCGCTGATCATTGGAATCATCGTATTGTGGAATGGAAAACTGGTTGCTGGTGGAAATGGAAAAGGACATGAAGCACATCAGTTAAATCACCCATTAGATGTGATTATCGACAAAGAGAGCGATAGTCTCATCATCAGCGATTACGGGAATAGAAGAGTAGTTCGATGGCCTCGTCGAAATGGTACTCGTGGAGAAACAATTATTTCAAATATCTCTTGCTTCGGTGTGACAATGGACGACAATGGATCTCTCTATGTCGTTGACCATGAAAAACATGAAGTGAGACTATATAAAATTGGTGATACTCAAGGAACAGTAGTTGCAGGTGGTAATGGAGAAGGAAATCGTCTCGATCAACTCTCTAATCCCCACTACGTAATTGTCGATCGAGATCATTCAGTTTATGTGTCTGATTGGGGAAATCATCGTGTAATGAAATGGGAAGAAGATGCAACACAAGGTATTATCGTCGCCGGTGGTCAAGGACAAGGAAATAGCCTTACACAATTGTATTATCCTAATGGAGTCGTTGTCGATCAATTGGGTACTGTCTATGTGGCTGATTCTAGGAATCATCGAATTATGCGTTGGCCAAAAGGAGCCACACAAGGAAGTGTCATTGTTGGTGGAAACGGTGAAGGAGCACAGCCGAATCAATTCAGTGGTCCCATAGGTTTATCATTCGATCGACATGGTAATCTCTATGTCGCCGATTTCGGAAATGCTCGAGTACAAAAATTTAATATCGAATGAAATTCAATACGATGATGAATTTTATTTTTTTGTTCTTTCTCTTTCAAATAAATCGTGATTGAACGAAAAAATGATTTCATAGCTATTCTATTCTCTTCGCGCGCGCGCGACCAGGAACGATCCTGGTGGAGCCGTGGCGAGCGTAATGCTCATGCACGCGCGGGAAGACCCACATCATCCACATGCACCCATCCGATGTCATATGTCAGTGAGTCTGGGGGCCCGATCGTGTGCCACGGACACCAAGACAGTTCCTGGCCAGGCTTTTAGGGACTACCCGGAAGTCCTTCTTATAAAGCGAAACCTTAATCTCAACGTACCTCATTCACCCTAACTAGTCTCATCTCAACCAACGAAAGAAAAAGAAAAACATGAATATAAAAGATCACAAGAGGACTTACCACCCTCTGTATGATCCAATAAAGAAAAAAAAAAGAAGAAAAAAATAAAAACTGATACCTACATTTTTTTGTTGTCTTGATTTGAATTGAATTGTATAATTTTGTATCGTTGCAGCCAATCTAAAATATAAAAAAAAAGATTAGAATTTGATTCAATAAATTGAATGATTTTTACATGGAAAATCATTCATATTTATACGTTAAAAAGTAGATAATTTTCTTTTTTTTTTTCTCATCAGAGAGTGATGAAAAGATGATAATAATTAAGCTATTATCAACATACACGCATACATTGAGATAAAGTCAATCACAGTATCTCAATGTATGTGTATGGATAATGCTTAATTGACGTACACACTCATTATGTCATATTATCATTGATCATCAATGACAACATGAAGCATAACTTACGGACGAGAGAAGAAAAGAAAAAAACGTTATTGTCTAGGCCTGTTTTTCATTCTTGTCTGTGTCATGTTCGTTTGTGAGCACACGAAGCAGACGAACACACAATATTCAAGTATGTGTTCATCATTGAATTCTTTTCTCTTTGTTTGATAGATCAGCAGCAACATGGAAAAATTTTTATCATATATTCGCAATTTTTAATATGTAAAATATGAATTTATTGTAATTATTGCAACTTGTCAACCTGAAGGGCGTCATTTGTCTGATTTGAATGCTATATGGGTTGCTCGAAATCAATTTATTTTTCTTGATAAAAAAATTATATTGTAAGTTTAAATTTGTTTCTTTTTTTAAATTTTTTCATTAATTTTTTAGGTTGGTACACGTCTTTTATTAATTCGTGAAAATTATGATATTATTTTATATGATGCTCAACAAAAGCGTTCATTAACAAGTATAAGAAAAAGCAATATGGTCAAATGATAAAGTATGCCCTTATTAATGGTGATCATGGAGTTATTTGTACAGTTGATTTACCTATTTATAGAACAAAAGTTAATGAAAATATTGTTTTTTTTATTTTCATACAGAAGTTCGACCAAAATTAGATAGTAAAGATTGTTGGGAAAAATTAACTTTTATTTATTTACAAGATCAGATTCCAATGCTATTAGGAGATGTTGAAGAATGCATTAAACTTCTTAGACAATGAAATCAAAGTAAGATTTTAGATTGTTCTTTTCTTTTTTCTAAGAGAAAATTATTAAATTTGTTGCGCTTCTTGTACACTGGAATCACTTGATGAAAAAGTAATTTATTATTGACAACAAAAAAAAAATTCTCATCTTAATACTTCTTCTGAAGGTCTTTAGAAAAAAAAACAAAACAATATAGAAAATTTTATAGTTTTCTAATATTTTCAGCTAAAAGTCCTGAAATCTAGTTATAAATTTTCGTGCCAGTATATCAATTCTTTTGAGATTCTAAATAATATCTAAGAATGTTTAATTATGTCTAGCATATTCTGGGTGCGTCCTTTTTCGTCCCTATCTTCCTTACATCCTGACACATGATTAAGGACGAAAAAGGACGCACCCCATATCCTTTATCTAAAGATTTTCCCGTACTATTGGATAGAGAAGTTTATGATAATTATCGATGTTGCTTTTGATATTGACAGATAAGATTTTTTTGAAAATAGATTACAAGAAATTACCATGTCATAGTTAATTTAGTGTTCCTGCTTTGATTGATATCCATTTGAATGTAGATTTTAAAAAAGTAAGAAGACTTCTCATATTCTATGTCAAAAAAGAAATAGGTCGGTAGCCTGAGATTTCAACAAAGATGTTATTACTTATTCTTTATTTAATTGATATGTTAGATATGAAGTATTAAGATAGACATACATTTAATCAATATTAATCTCGTGTTAAATTTCATAATTCAAAATAAAATATATTTTTTTAGTTACTTGAAACAAATCTACATGCTAAATTAATTTTACTACCATGTCCAAGAAGTCAACAAGAATTAAAGCAGGTTTAATATCAAACAGAACAGCAAAACTTGCTGCAAACTTTCATATTGATGAAATAGCAAGAAGTGGTGAAGATTGGACTGATGATGCAATAAAAATTGAAGATGTAAGTTGAGGTGATACTGAAATTGAATTATCACCTGATCTTGTATGTTTTTATTCAAATATATAAATTATTTGTTTACTTCATAAATATTTTAAAGTTATTTTAATTATTAAGGCGTAATGAACATTGACCAAAATTATTGTATCTACTACTTGGATTAAAATTAGAAAAATTAGTTGGACGCCTTCAAATTGCTTATTGTTTAACAAAAAACGAATAATTTCAAGATGAACAATGAATTGAAATATGTAAAGAATATATTATTAGTTGACAAATGTCAATGACAAAAACGAAGATTTAGCGAAAGATGATGAAAAACGTTGATATGAATTAGTTGCCTGTTTTACTCATTGACAATTACAATCAATGCACAAAATCATAAAATTAAAATCTGCAGTTAATCAAGCATTTAAATTAAAAATTGATACAACTGCAACAAGCTTCACCAAACGTTTATTGGAACTGGAACCAACACCTGATGTTACTCAATAGATTTTCTGTTTTAGTATTAATCTTTCATTTTCAAACCAAATACTCTCATTCTTTCTTGACTTCAACTTTGAAAGGTTTTAAAATAAACCAAAAAAACAAGAAAGAAAACATATCTTTAATGCACTCAAGATATATCAAATCTGTTGATCGAAGTTGTTCATGTGTTTTTGATTTATTGGAAACAATTGAGTTTATTCTTTGTTAGATGAAACATAATTTTGATTGAATTTTTTTAGAAGGGGAACAAAAAAATAAATTTTTTTTTGTATTATTTTGTTTAGACACGAAGAGTATTAAATGTTTGTGAAAAAAATCCAATTGATGAACATCCATTAAATTATGATGAATATAGTCCATTTAATATTTGTGCTGCATCCAATGTACCACATTTATCGGTATGAAATTTAAAAATGAAACCGAATTTAATTTAAAGTAATCTTTAATTCTTGTTTAGTGAAAATCCATTATCCGGTGCAGTCCATTTACCGGAATTTATAGGACAATTATGTCGAGTTACAAAAGCAACTGAAATTGGAATTCTAATTCTATTATCATTATTATTAACTTTTAATGCATATATTGATCATTTTGAAAAAGTAACTTATCATTAAAACGTTTTTCTTTTATTTCAAGATAAAGAAATCCTTTTCTAAAACGAAAATTTAAAATCAATACATTTGTTTGAAATAAGTTCACTTCAGTAGCCACTGAAATTCTATGATAATTTATGAATAAATAATCTCAATTTATGAAACGATATCATTGCAACTGAGTACTTTATAATCGTTTCAGAAATTTTATCGACATGATTTCATTTGATATTTGGCCTTTGCAATATCTCGATTGACTAACTCAATTAGTAACCTACGCAGATCTATTAAGTCATTAATAAGACTAAGAGATAATTAAATGTCTAGCGACATACTTTTTTTTATAGATTTCTTCATATTGAAATAAAATTAAAAATGAACATTGAGAAATAAATTTCCATTCTAAAAACTAAAATGGAAGATAATAATGATGATGATTTTCTATTCAATGGTTTATTTTCCCCAATTGAAAAAATCTTCGTTGATTTCGATTGACTTTTCTCCAGTTTCGCAACTACAGAGTTTCAAAGTAACAAAAAAATGAAAACCGATTCTAAAAACGAATTTTCTTAAATTAATATCGTTTGTAGATAGTCATCATGGTGATGAAAATCTTGACTCTACTATAGAAAAACATGATCTTAATGAAGCATTTCCAAGAACTGTTATAATAACAACAATGAAACAAGAAACAACATAATTGGAAAGATGTGTTATTGAAAAACAAATTCAATAATCATCAAATCAAAATGAAAATATACAAAACTGAAACAATGAGCAAAATATATGGAGATAAACATCATATAACAGTAAAACAAGATGGTAAAATAATTTGAGAATATGGAAATGCAACAATGAATGAATTAAATCAAATTGATAAAGATATTCGGACTTTTTTAACAAGCTTTTTTGTTAAATAAAAGATTTTTGTTGAAATGATCTACTAAAAATAAATGAAAGAAAATATTATTTGAGTTTGTTTTTTTTTATTTTAAAAAGAAACATGTAGTTGTCTCCCTGCTTTTTACTTAATATATTTTATTTTTTCTGCTTCGTCAAAACTAAATCTCTTTTCCGATTGAAAATAAACTTGTCGACAATACCATCATTTTCCTCAACAACAACAGAAAAAAAACAGAAAAAAGGTGTCAATTCAAGTCGGATGAACATCCAACAGCTTATAAACGACTAGACAAAACCTTTTTTCTCTAATCTTCATTTACAACTAACTCACAAGTTAGAATATCAGTTTAATCTTGTTATTGGTTTTTTAGAAAAAAAAAATCTACAAATATTTCAATATCAATCTTCACCATAAAGTAAATTATTTAGATACGTTGAATAATATATTAGTATCATTCGTGAAGAAAGGAACTTTTCTTTTTGTTAAATAGCATATAAACGGATGCGAAGAAAGCATTGTGAAAATTAAGAAAGTTATTGTTCTCCTTGTCTTCTGATCTAAAGCCACACCCACGCCCTAGAAATTCTTCGCTTCGCATCACAATGGCGATTACGTTTTTGGATACGAGTATTATCCATGATTTTATAAGTCTGATTATGAGAGTGATAGATTTTATCAGCACAAACACTAAACATTTACATGTCAGTCGGTTATCTAAGTCGTGGTATGATAGGAAATTTGGATCTTTTGAAAAACAAGACAATTGAAAATAAGATACATGAAAAGCAGTCGTATATATTGTTTATTTCTAGAAATAAAAGTCTCTGTGGTGACTAGTCTAAGGAAAAACATGGGTTTTTTTATATCTCACAGTCATAATAGTAATAGAAACTGTATAATCTTTCTTTGAACAACAGTTCTAATCAGTCTAATTCGATATCGACATGGCAGCAGGCTATAGATTGAAAAGAGTTGTAAAAACTGCGATGCTCGAAACAGGCTTCAAAATGGACAACTTTTTCATGGTATAGACTTGTCCGATCCGATAAAAATTTTGTTTACAAAGATTTCTTCTAGTTGTACTTGAAGATGATTTTGCCATCTTTGAAGAACTTGATACATGTAAATGAGTATAACATGATATATCTTCCTGAAGACTTCTCACAAATTGAATCTTAAAAGGACAATCAATACATAAACGATTTTTTGGACACCAGTTAGAAGCTTATCGATCATTTACAACTCTATTTTGTGCTATGACAAATTAAGTCTTGAGTCGAACTTTCATCCTAATTCCTCGTTTCGTTGTGATCTCTAGTTTATCTATTTATAAATAAATATCAGTAAGAATTATTAGTGTAGTTGCCAATCTTTCATGTATACTATTCATTCAATAAGAATTATTACATTTCAATTCGTTTTTCTTAAAAAGAATATCGATAAAAAAAAGTTGTTAGCACAAACACTGTGAAATTAAAATATGGAATAAAACGAAACTGTGATGTGGTATACAAAATAAAATAATCAGTATATGTTTCAATTTATGAATCCGTACCTATTGTAAATAAATGGCGATCGTGAAATGTATCACTTCCAATATAGTGCAATGAGTATGAAGGAAAAGTAAAGGGCAATTATCATACTAAGCTCAGTTCTAACATAAGAAGTACAGCAACAAGATTCAAGTGTATGGATATTGCTGGAATAAAATTTGAGTTAGGATTTGTTCAAGTCGAAGCCTGGAGCTGATAGAGTCCTGATTCAGTTTTTTGTTTTCCGGGTCCACGAAAATGTACACCTGCAACTCAATAACTCCAACAGTCCTTTGAGATCGTCTTTCACAAAATTAAAAACAAAAGTTGTTTTATTATTCTTTTGAAAAAGCTTGTTAGCATAGTCCATTTAGTGTCGATATATGGAACTCATATAAACCACATAAGATAGAATGGTTGCTAAGATCTATAATGAAAAGAGGAGTCAAAAACTTTCAATTTAAAATTTACACTCATTATATTCTTCGAAAATAAATGAAAGTTCTACAAAAAATACTTACATTAATTTAATAGAGTTGATTGAATAA